GTGTGATCCAGCAAATGGAAAAATTTATCTGTGACTGACTTTCAAAATAAATAGATTTTATTTCTTTCAAAAATATTTATTTATTATGGGCAGAAACAGAGAGAAAAAGCTCTTCCATCAGCTGGTTCACTCCTCAAAGGGCTGCGGTGGCTGGGCCCATCTGAAGCCAGGAGCTTCCTCCAAGACTCTCCCATGGGCGCCAAGCCCCCAGGTTCATGTCTGATCTGCCGGGGCAATGCCGACAGCCTTCTGTGTGCTTCCCCAGCCCTGGCCGTGTCGTGTCTGGCATGTGGACTACGGTGCCGTGGTTTCAACCAACACCCCATCTTGCCTCCACTCAGCTGGATTTAGGCAAAAAGAAAAAAAAAAAAAAGCCCTCGGTGCCCTGGACCTGCCCTCCCTCCACCTTCTCTGCCCCCTCTGTCCACATGGTCAGCCCTGGAACACATCTGGCATGGACTGCCGTGCTCCAGGCTGGCAGCCACCCTGGGCAGCCTGACCAGCGGCTCCGTGTCCTCTGCCACCCTGGCTACCCTGGCCAGTGGCTCCGTGGCCTCTGCCTCCCTGGCCACCCTGGCCAGCGGCTCCGTGGCCTCTGCCACCCTGGCCACCCTGGCCAGCGGCTCCGTGGCCTCTGCCACCCTGGCTACCCTGGCCAGCGGCTCCGTGGCCTCTGCCACCCTGGCCACCCTGGCCAGCGGCTCCGTGGCCTCTGCCACCCTGGTCAGCCTGGTCAGTGGCTCCGTGGCCTCTGCCACCCTGGGCAGCCTGGCCTGAGGCTGGGGGACCCACGGAGTGCCTCACTTTGCAAGAACACCTCCAGCAACAGCAGTGGCTGTGTGAGAAGCAGCTGCTGGGGCATACACCCACAGAGCGCTGTCCGGGCTGGCCAAGGGAGGGCCAGGCCCCCAGCCACGGCTGTGACAGCACAGAGGGCCTGTTGGGGCGGTCATCCTGCGCAGGGACACCTCCCCCACCCCTGCCCTCCACCACCTGGCCTTGTCCAGCAGCCAGCAAGGGTGAGTACTTCCCGCTGAGGTTGCCACTGTGGCTGGAAACACGGTGGGTTGACGCCGTAGGACGGGGCACTTGCTCCCCACGGAGGGGTCTGAGGGGGTTGGGCCATGCAGAGCTGGGTTTCGGGGGTCTTTGGTGTCTGAAGGGGCATGTCAGAATCTGTTCACATCCAACAGGAAGGGCAGATGTCCCTGAGGGAGAGTGCCGCCCACTGAGCAAATGCCCGGCGCCTGAGAACTCGCGGCTGCCGCTCCACCTGCCACCTGCACACCGCCGTGGGCAGCCGCCCCCGCCAGTGAGTGAATGTCGAGGTTTTTGGTACTTCCCACACGGGGCCGGTTCTTTCCCGGTGGGTGCAAGGGGAGCGTGTGAGGGTTCCGATTCCAGAAGTGTTTGGAATTCAGTCACGTCCTTTGGACGGGGCCTTAGCTGCAGTTGGGCATCAGCGCTGGGCTCAGACCAGGACAACCCTGGGGGACGTAGGCTCATCAGACGGGACCCACCACAGCCACCAGGTCGTGTTTACAGAGCCCAGCTGACCCTGCGCCGTCCATGGCTGCCTGTAGATGAACATGCACCTGTTTCCACCCATCGCCCCAACCCCTTGACGCCACGTCAGCCAAGGTTGCTGGGAGCTGTAGGTAGTCAGAGCTGGTGACCGTGGAATCCACTGTCCTGGCAAGAACTCTGAGTCTACCAATGTTGAGGGCTCTTGCTGGCCAGGGATGCCACCTGCTGGGCACGCAGTAGTGGGCAGGCGACAGCTTGTCGGATGAATGACCAGAAGGCGAGACTTCACCAAGGCCTCGGTGGCCGCCCCACTCCTCCAGCAGTGCGAGGGTGGGCACTGCGGTCACCTCGCCGGGACTGTTCGCCCTTGCAGGCCTCTGTGGCTCCGTTCTCAGCCCTCTGCTGTGTACCTGGCTCCAGGCCGCTGTTGGCCAAAGGCCGCAGCTTCAGCTGCCAGTGGATGCCACTCTGGGGGCCGCCCTGGCCCTCATCTCCACGCACTCCACGAGGGGTACGCGTGGCGGCCACTTCTGTGGGAACCAGGTCATGTCCTTCACGCTGTGTGTGCACACGCTCTGCAAGGCAGCGGCCACCAGGGGACACCCACGCCATGCAAGACGCTGCGTCAGTGGCCATTCCTGGCAGTGCCCTTCCTGCTGATGCTCTGAGAGCTGGGCTGACCACACAGCTTCTCCCTCGGGGTTCCATGTTGTTTTTCTCTACCACTAAGGAGAACCAGGGAATTAGCCACACCTCTGAGAGAGAGAGAGAGAGACTGGGCAGGGATGGGCAGGAGGTGGGGGCTGAGAGGCCAGTGCAGTGGCATAGCGGGTTAAGTTGCCGCCTGTGACATTGGCATCCCATGTGGACCCTGGTTTGAGTCCTGGCTGCTCCACTTCCAACCCAGCTCCCTGCTACTGGCGTGGAGCGATAGCAGAGGCTGTTCTTGGACCCATGTGGGAGACCTAGAAGAAGCTCCCGGCTTGTGACTTGGGTCTGGCACAACCCTGGCTGCTGAGGCCATTTGAGGAATGAACCATCAGACAGACGACCTCTAATACAATGAAAGGTCAATAAGGAGGCGTGGCTGAACCTCCACGAGCGAATTCACTTGGCCGTCTAGCAAAGCATCGTCCCAAACGTGAGTTTAGATTTTGGTCCGGGGGCTGTCCAGCATTTGCAGAAAGTTCCATCCTGAACAAGCGAGCTGCGGATTCCAAATCTTGGGGCTCCCAGTCTGCTTTTCTTTTCCTTCTGTTTTCTGAGAGCCCCCCACACCCCTTGGTGTGTCTTCCCAATCCAACAGGCTCTGAGCGAGTGGGCCTGTCCCATCCCGTGCGTGGCTGAGGGCTGTGTGCCAGGCAGGCAGGGAGAGCGGCTGAGGACCCTGCTGCTGGCGGGGGCGGGTGCGCCCCTGCTCTGTTGGTCCCCCCCGAGCTGATCCAGGACAGGGAGGGGACACACAAACAGCAAATGTTGGGTCCTGTCCCCAGAGCGGAGTGCCTCAGGAGAGGCATCACCGACAGACACACCCGGTCCAGAGGCATGCACCTGACCCCTTGTGAGTGTCACTGCCTTTGCATTGGACCCGACCTCTGAGCTCAGCCTGGGACCCCGGAGCTCCAGCTCCCCATGGTGGGAACCAAGGCTTGCCCCCCACCCAGGTACTGTGATGGGGCTGGGATTAGAACTGGCGCCCATTTGGAATCCTGGCGTGTACAAGGTGAGGACTTTAGGCACTAGGCTACCGCACCGGGCCCTTTACGATTTCTTCTGTTCCTGGGGAAGGGGAGAGACAAAGGGGGAAACCACTCACGGCTTTCACACGTCCCAGGCGCTGGGGATGAGGAAGTGATCTTAAAAAACAGAGAGAGGGCCCGGCGGCATGGCCTAGTGGCTAAAGTCCTCACCTTGAACGCCCGGGATCCCATATGGGCGCTGGTTCTAATCCCGGCAGCTCCACTTCCCATGCAGCTCCCTGTCTGTGGCCTGGGAAAGCAGTGGAAGATGGTCCAAAGCTTTGGGACCCTGCACGGGAGACCCAGAAGAGGCTCCTGGCTTTGGATCGGCATAGCATCGGCCGTTGCGGTTCACTTGGGGAGTGAATCATCGAACGGAAGATCTTCCTCTCTGTTTCTCCTCCTCTCTGTATCTCTGTAATAATAATAAAAAAAAATAATTAAAAAAACAGAGAGAGAATTTAGACAACGGAGGCGACAGGAGGGCTGTGTCTGCCAGGTTTGCTCGCTGCCTTGTTTTACATGGAACTTGAGCATGCGCAGACAGAGGTGTTGGGGAGGCTCAGGATCTGGGAGGGTGGCCGGGCCCTGCAGGGGCTCCCTGCGGCCCTCTGCCCCGTTCAGAGCCCACTGCGGGGGGCCAAGGCCTCCGGTGCCCGAGACACAGCCCTGGCCGCACTGCACCCTTTTGGACTGTTACGACAGAGAGGAAAGAGCGCAGAGGGGTCTTCTGTCCGGTGGGTCATTCTCCAGGTGCCGCAGCAGCCAGGGCGCCACCAGATCAGAGCCAGGAGCCGTGAATCCAGGCTTCCCACGTGGAGGCGGTGGGCCAAGCTCTCAGCCATCCTCTGCTGCCTTCCCAGGCCTTTAGCAGGGAGCTGGATGGGAAGTGGAGCAGCTGGGACTCGAACCAGCACCCATAAGGCATGCCGGTGCCATAGGCAGTGTCTTAACTCACTGAGGCACAGTGCCAGCCCCTTGCGTGCCCACACACACGAGGACCTTCCATAACCCCCACAGTGGGAGGTTGTGACGTAAACCAATCAAAGCCACTGAGGCAGAGTCAGCTGGGCTCCCCATGGTAACTCAGTCCGGGGGAGATAAGGACTCTGCCTGGGAGGTGCATGTGGCCTCTTGGTGACATGGGACATGCGGACGGACAGCAGCTGTGAGCGGCTGGAAAGGCCGTGATGCAGCCGAGGTTAGCTGAGCGCTTGTCAGCTGCACGGCGGCATCATGGCACCATGGCACGATGTGCGAGGGCCACAGCCACCGCTGCCCCCGGCCACCGCTGCCCCCGGCCGGGCCTGAGGAAGGAGCGCCCAGCACACAGGATCAGGGCACTGAGGGCCGCTTCCTGCCAGGGCGGGAGCTGTGCGAACCGGGTGCCTGTGTGGCCTGCAGCTGAGAGGGTCTGGAGTGCGTGTGCAACGCAGCCAACTGACCATCGTGGTGGGTGACGCGGTCTGTGGTGCAGGCTCGCCCTGACGCGCACCCCACGACCCCACGCCCTCGCTCCCAAGGGTTCTGTGCAAAGTGGGAACACTTGGAAGGCTGGGCAGGCCCCGCGGAAAGCGCGGCCCGAGGCGCCTCCGGTGTGTCAGGTACAGAATAAAATACGTGTGGACAGCTCTGCCAGCATGGCTTAGCCTCATCCCCTGCCCCATCCTGGGCAGCACCCTGCTTTGCGGTGCCCTCGGGACACAGGTCACCGTGTGTCCCCACAGCCTCGCGATGGCCGACGGCGTGCCCCTCATCTGTGATTACGGCTCGGCCCTCAGCAAGGTGGGCTTCGCAGGGAAGGAAGCACCCCAGGCCGTCTTTCCCACCATCCTCGGGAAGCTGCGGCACGACGTGAGTGGCTCCTGCAGCCCCTGCGCCGTCCCCCAGGGTGGCTGAGGGGCCAGTCTCTGGGCTGCCAGGTGTGCCTGCTGTCCGGCGACTCCTAGAACACGGCTGGGGGCACTGGGAGCCTCACCACGGCCATCTCCAGAGTCCCCCCAGCCCAGCGCTTCTGAAGTCACATTGCACGGGGTGGACGGCCCCGCAGCCACACGCCGGGCGCGCCACCTGCTGGCACTGGGGAACACAGCCATGCCGACCAGGGATGTGCAATCTCTGTGTGTCTCTCTCTGTCTCTCTGTCTCTCTCTCGCTCTCGCTCTCTCCCTGTTTTTCCGCCACTACCGTCTCCCTCCACCCCGCCCCTGGAGAGCCCGCCTGGCTTCAGTTCTGGGTGCTGTTGGCCTAGAGGTGGGTTCGCTGGATCCTGCTTGACTCCAGGTTTCTGGACCAGTTTCCGTGTGAGCTCATTTTCCTGAGGGGCCTCGGGCAGACGGACTGTGGCACTTGCAGATCTGGGATGCCACGGGGCTTTGCACTGTGAGGAGGGGGGCTCCTTTACAGGCTGCCCGCCGCCTGTTTCAGGGGCATCGCTGCCCATGGCTGGTTGGCAGCGTTAAACCACTGCCTCATGGCCCACTGCCTCCCTGCCCTCATGTGTGGCAGGGGTGCCAGGGCAGCCTGGAATTCCTCTGATGAACAGGCCTGGTTGAGGAGACCCCTGGGGAGCAGGCACAGCGTGCCCAGCGGCACTGAGCGTCTCTGCCAGGAACACTAGCATCTCATGCTGTGGGGGGATCCAGCCGCACTTTGCTTCCTCCTTGGGGGGGGGGGCAGCAGGGGATGGCTCACACACGTGGATTCCTGACAAGGTTACAGGGGACAGCGGGACCTGCCTGGAGCTCCTGGCCCCCAGCGTTGGCCTCGCCCAGCCTGGCTGCAGCAGGCATGGGGGAGGAAGCTGGCGGATGCAAGATCGTTCTCTATCTCGTTTTGACTTCCAAACAAATAAAATAGAACGCCAGTGGCCTTGAGAGATCCGGTCTACAGGATGAACCAGGAACCCCTCTATATTCCCCCCCCCAGGTCACCTCCCCTCCACTCCCCCCCAGGTCACCTCCCCGTCACACCCCTCCATGTCACCTCCCCCATCCATCTCCACCCTCCCTATCCCAGCGCCCTCCCCTTAAGGCCCATTTTGGTCTTGCTGCCTGCTTCTTGGTGGGTCCAGATGAGCCCCCAGGCAGGCCATGCCCCACCTTTGGCAGTGATGGGGTGGGGGGCTTTTCTCCGCCCCCCAAGGAGCAGGAATGGAGCCACAGAACAGACTGCTCCCCGGCCCACTGGCGGAGTGCCCGTGTCTCCTCTCCTCGCCCGGTCTGTCTCCCTCCTCTGCCCCCAGCTCCTCCCTCCGCAGAGTGGGCACCAGCTGTGTGACATCCCTTAGGACCTCCCTACCGGGCAGGTGCTTGGAACCCCCTAGCAGCCATGCCTGACTCCACGCCTGAGGTCACACGAGGTCACAGAGGCTGTTCACGCCTCCCGTGGACCTAGGCGTGCCAGCCCCCAGCCGCTCCCGTGGACCCAGGGCGCCAGCCTCCAGCCGCTCCCCTGGCCCAGGGCGCCAGCCCCCAGCCGCTCCCCTGGCCCAGGGACGCCAGCCCCCAGCCGCTCCCCTGGCCCATGTCTTCCAGAACCTGTTGGTGGGGGTGGAGGAAGAAGAGTGGTTCATCGGAGCGGAGGCTCAGAGAAACTGTGAGAAGATCATCCTGCAGTATCCCGTCTCTCGCAGCAGCATCACCAACTGGGACACCCTGGAGATGGTGGGCCACCGCCTTCCGCGGGCTCCCACTGCGGTGGGAACTGCCCGGGGCCGAGGGAGGGGAGGGGTCCACATGGCAGCTGGGAGCCCCTGGGCCTTGTGGGTTGTAGCCCTCTTGTCAGGTGGATATGCTGGGGCTGGTGGCCAAGGTCTGAATTCCGGGTTGGGGACCCATGGGTCGCTCACGCTGGCTGCTCCCACAGCAGCTGAGCTCATTGGAGGTCTCTGCCTGGGCCCCCACAGGACTCCCCACCCCCTGTGAAAGGACCCTCAAAGGATGGCCCTTCGTGTTGGCATCTGCAGGGGCCTTTCCCAGATGGGGTGGTGCCCAGCTCAGCCTGGGGAGGGGGAGGCACCCCTCCCCAGGCCACTTGCAGAGGCTTAGCACCCAGCACCCAGCTCACACCTCTGCCGGCGGCGGCTGCAACCGGGGCCCAGTGAATGTCCTCCCAGACGTGGGGACAATGAGTGGGGGCCCCCAGGGCACGAGCTTGGATGTCCCCAGTGCCACTTATGGCCAGCAGGGCAGTCCACCGGCCCGAGAGGAGTCTTCCCCGGGGTGGGGTGTGGCTCACAGGCCCCGACTTGGCCGCTGGCCGCAGGATCTCACTCACAGGCAGTTTCTGCTTTGACACAGCCACACGGAAGCTGTGCCTGCGAGTCTTTGGGGTGCCCAGCCCCCTGCCTAGGGGACCCACACTTGGTCCGGCCATGGCTGCCGCCCTTGCCCCACAACATTGCCTGTCACGGTCTGAGCCCTGATGTAGCTGTGTCTCCGTGTCTCCCTGTATCCGGCCCTCGTGGCGCGCTCTCACCAGACACCTGTCTATGCAGGGTGGGGGAGAAGGGCTCCTTTCTCACACTCACTCCCACTTGTGTCATCTCCGTGTCCCACCTGTTGGTAGCACCCAGCCTCTGCTGCCCCACAGCCACCATGTCACTTCTTGTGCCTTTCCCCGGGGCTGTCCCTCTGCTGGCAGCCCAGTGCTCCGGGCCAGGCTGTGCCACCCCGACCCCCCAGACGGACACACCACAGTCCTGACCCCAGCATCTGGGAAGTGTGTGTGTATGAGGGGTTGTTAGCTGACTATACCATGATCTCCTGTGCTATGGCCTGGGGTGGCTGGGATGCGGGAGAGTCGTCTGTGTCCTAAGGGTGACCACAGCTGACCACTGGCCGTCAGTGAGATCCCCAGAGTGACAGACAGGAGGGACCCGTGAGGGTGTCGGGAGGAGGTAACCAATGGATAGAGTCTAGATGGCAGATCACAGGCAGTAGCTAAATGGTGGATGGGTCAGCAGGTGAGAGAGATGACAGACCGGCAGGTGCACGGGTGGCTGGCCGGCGGCTGGGTGGACAGCAGACACGTGAGTCTCCCCCACAGATCTGGCACCACTCCTTGTACCAGCTGCTGCACGTGGCCCCCGAGCAGCACCCCGTATTGATGACGGAGCCGCCTCTAAACTCCCGGACCAACAAGGAGAAAATGTGCCAGGTACCCGGATGCACGGCGGCCGGGTGCCTCGTGTGGCCACCACGCCCCGAGCCTGGGGCAAGACACCTGGGGCAAGACACCTGGGAGCCCGGCCACCATTGGGGAGCTCACTGGCAGGCAGGCGTGGAGCTGGGCACTGAGAGGGCCCAGGGGAGGGCACTGAGCAGCAGGTGGCTCCAGCAACTCAGCCGGGATGCAAGGGCCGTCACTGGGGGCCCCCAGTCACCATTGTCGGATGAGACCCTGTCTAGGTCTCTTCTCCCTCAGGGCAGTGCCCCCTGCTGGACCCAGACCAGCCAGAGACTTCCTCAGGGCTGGAGCAGGGCTGCCTGTGTGCCAGGCACCGGGAGTCACACTGCCCACATCCTTGGCGGCTGCCCCGCCCGTCTCCCTCCCGTCTACCACCCCAGCTGCCTCCCGGCTCACCAGTGATTCAGATGGAACCTAATGATGGGGTTACAGTTCCGGCTGCCCCACTCTTGGGGCATGCCAGAACCCCGGTGTCATCAGCTGGCCCTGGAGTGAATGGCCCAAGAACAGTGGCTTACAGGGAAGGAGGTTCTGGCCACAGCTCCGGCTCCTCAGCTGGGTGCTCCCCTCGGCCACGTGGCTCAGGCATGTTGGAGGAATCTCTGGGACCCAGCGGGACGTGAAGGGCAGCTTGATGACCAAGCCTCTGCGGGAACCATTCCCTGTCCTAAACCCCATGATGGGGCTGGGTGGCCACCCTGACCCTCCAGGCCCTGGCAGCCCAGGCTGGGACCTCGGATCTGCAGTTTAAGCACCTGCTGATGTTCAAACCGCACACATGGTCTGTCCCAGCGCTGGCAGCGGGGTACCTGGTGGGCCTGGGGAGCGGGGGAGACCTGCCTGCCTTGTAGGGGACTGGCAGCCAGCTGGTCATGTCCCCCCAGATCCTGTTTGAGACCTTCCACGTGCCCGCCCTGTACTTGGCCAACCAAGCTGTGCTTTCTCTCTATTCCTCCGGCTACACGTCCGGTAAGCGGCTCAGGGCAGTCCACTCCCCGCTTCTGACACTGTCCATGCTCCCTGTCCCTTCCGGAGCCCCCTTTCTGTCCGTGCCCCCCGGCTCGTCTGCTCACCCTCGCCCACGCACCTTGAGGTGCACCCACACGCCACGGAGCAGACTGACCAGGGTGACACACGGGACAAGCCGACCCCCAGGAATCTCTGCAGCACCCCAAAGCTTCCCTCACACCCTCCACACTGCCCCCCAGGCTGGCCCTCAGGAGCGCCCCGCTGGGAGGATTTTGCATTAGTGGGATCAGGGTGTGTCCCCCTCCGCCCCTCAGCAGCATTGCTGGGCGTTAGCCGTGAGGTTCTTTGTACCAGTGGCTCATTTCTGATGACGATGTCCCAGGTGGAGGGTTGGTTAGCTATGCCACCATGCAGGCATCTGGTAAACGGGTCCCCTACCCAGACACGAGTCACCCCAACTCCTGAAGCCAACAGATCACCCAGAAGGGAGCCGTGGGTCCCCATTACCATGCGCCAGCCTTTTGGAAGTGGCTTGGGCGGTGTGCTCACCCTGTAGGCAGATCCCCATCCCCCAACACCTGCCACCGTGTTCACACAGGGCCAGATCTGTGCAGATCCCTGCCTGTCCGACCTCTTGGTCAGCTGTGCTAACACCTGCACACACTGGCCACTGAGGACCCAGCAGCGCTCTCCTCAACAGCCACGCTCCCCGCACCCCGACCCTGCTCCCCTGGCCCTCCCCTGCCTGCCTGGCTTCCCTGCTGCCAACCGCCCTGATGCCAGCTCTGCTGTCCCGTCCAGGCACCACTATCGAGTCTGGGGAGGGCATGACACACTTCGTGCCCATCATCGAAGGCTGCCCTCTGCACCAGTCGACCCTCCAAGTGGATGTAGCGGGTCAGGACCTGACCACGTTTCTCCTGCGGCTGCTGTCCGACAAGGGCCACTTACTCGTGAGCACAGGTAGAGATGTCCTCCGCGCCAGGGAGCCCTCCATGCCAGGCAGCCCTCCGCGGCCCCCTCTGTGCCAGGCAGCCCCCCGCGGCCCCCGGTGTACCGCCTGCAGCTGCTCACGTGCTGCTTGAACAACTCCCGTATTTCAGAGGCACCACGCCCTGCTTAGGGGCATCAGCAGATTAATGATGGTGAGGATGATGATGATGGTGATGATGATGATGGTGGCGAGCTAATCTTCAGAAAACTTCCCCGTGCAAAGCACTTGGCCAAGTGGACTTTTCTAGCACATTCTACCATTGCGTATCACACCTAATGAGGAGGAACAATTATTTCCACTGAAAGAGGAAGAGACGTGGAAAGGTTGGGAGATTCTGCCAGTAGCCCCTAAGCAGTGGGCCTGGTTCAGGAACATGGACCCAGGGCCTTCCCTCTGGGCACCTGGGGGCTGGGCCAGATGCCCGGTCTGCAGTCTTCACAGACCTTTCCGGTCTTCCCAGGCGAGAGGCATGAGAAAGAGAGAGAGAGAGAGAGAGAGAGAGGGAGAAGAGAAGGGTTTGTGGACCTGAGGCCTGAGGGAGGGAAGCCAGCCGGGAGCTGAAGGCGTGCCCTGGGCTTTGGGCCTGGGGAGCCAGGAGAGGCCTTGGCAAGAACGGCTGAGGTGGAGCGAGGGCAAGGAGAGGCAGGTGCCCGTTGGTTGAGTGACCCAGAGGTGAGGTCAGCCAAAATGTAGCAGAGACACAGCGGCAGGTGCCGCCCCCACCTCCATGGTGGGCGAGCAGGGTCACCACCCACTGCTCCCACCACACATGGGGGACCCAGTGAGGTTCTCAGCCCTGCTTCCAACTGCTGGTGGTGTCCTGCAGTGTCCTGCCGAGTCCCCGCCCCTGCCTGCCCAGGCCCCTGACACCTCCTCCCCGCAGCCCTCCCTGCCCTCTCACTCCTGAAGTCTCCCTCTGCCTGCAGCTGACCGGGACAGGGTCAGGGACCTGAAGGAGAAATGCTGCTTTGTGGCCTTGGACTTCGACAAGGAAAAGGGGAACTCCACCGGGGCTCCTTGCCAGGAGACCTACCTGCTCCCTGACAGCCAGGAGATCCGCCTTGGGCCTGAGAGATTCGTCTGCCCCGAGGCCCTCTTCCAGCCGGACCTCATAGGTGAGTGGGCAGGGACTGGAACCGGCTGTGAGCTGTCCTGCACGCAGGACGGGCTGGGGTACAGGAGGTTGGGGGGCAGCCCAGCCCGGGAGGTGGCCTCTGCAGAGCCACCCCGTCCCCCACCTCTGGTCTGGGGGGGGGCACTTCCTGAACAACTCACGTGGGAGGGGTTCGTAGGAGCCAGGTCGGCATAACGAGTGCTTGTAAGTGCGTTTTCCACGGGTTTTCGGAAGCGTCCCTGGGACACTGCCGTGCTTTGCAGACCATGGGGTCTGGGTGACTTCCCTGCCCGGTCCCTTCGCCGGTTCTTTTGTGACATGCAAGTTACTTGTTCTACATGGTCAGGGCACTGCTCTGAGTGGCCAAGACACATAATAATTAGAAACATAAAAATCACGGCCATTAATTAAAGCTGAACTTGAAAGCCGTGCCAAAGGGGGAGCTGTCAACAGGAGGTATGGGCAGGGTGGTGGTGGAGCAGTGGGTGAAGATGCCACCCACATCGCTGGTGTTCTGGCTGCCCTGCTTCCCATCCAGCTCCTTGCTAATGCGCCTGGATGAGTAGCCAAGGACGGCCAGAGAGCTGGGGTCCCTGCACCCACATGGGGCACCCAGCTGGAGGGGTCTTAGCTTTGGTCTCGCCCAGCTCTGGCAATTGTACCCATTAGAGGAGTTGAAGCATTCTGTAACTCTGCCTTGGAAATGGACCTGGCGGGCACCACATCCCCGGGGAGGGCCCTGCGCAGACTGGGGAGGGGTCCTTGCAGCCTGAACATGTGAGCTGGGCATCTGTTTTCCACGAGACTGGGCAGTGGACAGAGTTGTACAGCCACGGCGCATGTGGCCCCATGGTACCAAGCAGACGAACGGAGAGGTCGTGGCGTTACTTACCCACCACGACCAGGGTTCCCTGGGGCGACTCGGTGGATCCCAGGGGACAGGAGTGCAGCCCGACACCCGGCGTTCCTGGTCGGAGTGCCCGTTCCAGTCCTGAACTCAAGGTCACCACTGGGTTCACTCAGGTCATTCCTCAATTTCCCAAGGTCATCTCTGGGTTCCTCTCAGGTCCCCAGGGCATCTGCAGCTGAGAGGTGAGGGTAGGGGCGGCTCGTGTGTGGTCCAGCACTGGCTCTGTCTCCGGCCAGGCAGGAGCAGCGTGGGGATGCCCATGATGGCTGTGCAGAGTGTCTCGGCCTGCCGTCCCGCCCACTGGAAGGCCCTTTACGGCCACATCCTGCTCTCGGGGGGCACCGGCTGCCTCGCGGGCCTGCGGTTCCGGCTGCAGAGGGAGATCACCACGCTGGTGTCGCCTGCCCTCACCGTGAAGGTATGGCCCTCCTGCCATACCTGGCCCCCGGGCTCCCCAGCTTCCCCCCACAGGACGTGTGGGCAGCACAGGTTTCAGTGGGGAGGTGCCTGGGCGAGGGTCTGGCAGTTTAGAGATACAGGGTTGGTCGCTGCAGGGGCCACTGAGCAGTGCGGGCTGCAGTGTGGACACCTGAGTGGACAGGCCGTGGGCACCTGGCAGCATCCCTGGCCACGTCCCTTTCTCTGCTGTGGCACAGAGAAACACAAGTTCCCCTCTTCCTCGCTGTGTCTGTCGGTGTCACCTTAAAATACGCAAAGTGTTTTTCAAAGTTCAGGGAGCACGGGTTCGATGCAAGCATTTCCACCATGTTCGCACCAGTGCAGACCCGCCTACCACTGCCAGCAGCTGTCGGAGGTGGCCTGTCTTCCCTCTGCTGAGGCCAGCTGACCCTGGGTCCACGGAGGGGCACTGCTGGCCGGCTGGGGGCGGTGGGGCCACACCTCACAGCGCCCCTTCCCGCCCCCTCCTTCCCTCCCCCCAGGCCTGGAGCTTGCCTTTCCCAGCCCCCTCCCAGAGTGTTCCCGGGGCTCCTGGCACCACCAGGCATGCCTCCCTTCCCGCCTCCCCATCACCACCTCGGGTCATGACCCTGCTTTTGCACCACGTGTGCGTGCTAAGGAAGCCAGCACTGGCAGGCAGAGGCGCCTCTGACCTCAGCTTGTGGCCTCAACCTGCCGATCCTCTGCAGCCAGGCAGGCAGCTGCGGGCAGGTGGGGGCAGGTGGGGGCAGGTGGGGGCAGGTGGGGGCAGGTGGGGACAGGTGGAGTAGAAGTAAGTGGGGACAGGTGGGAGACATGGGAGAGGTGGGGGCAGGTGGGGGCAGGTGGGGACAGGTGGGGGCAGGTGGGGGCTCTCACCTGGCCCGGCCCCAGCTGCCCTGGAGCAGCCGTTCTTTGTGGATTTTAGATTGAAGGAAGAGCTGGGCCAGAGCCCAGGGCCTCTTGGGCGCTCTGGGGCAGCAGGGCAGTCTTGCGAGTGTTTGGTGCCTGGTGACAGGCTGGCTGACTGTTCTATGTTTTCCAATTTGTTCGCCACACATTCTTGACAGAAGGATAGAATGCATCTTAGGCCATGGATCTCCTGCCCTCTTGGGCATTTCATCCACTGTTTTAGAGGGTCAGGAAGCAGGCGTGGGGTCCAGTGTCTTGATGTGGCATTAGGAATGGCATCAGCCAGGAGCGAGGTGCCCTAGGGGGTGAGCTGGTGTGCCTTCCGCTGGGCGAGTGCTGCTTTGATCTCAATCTCTTTGCCTTTCTGTCTTGCCCCCCCCCCCCCCCGCTTTTTGCTCCCTATCTGCCCCACCCCTCACCCCACACCTGCTTGCCCCTCACCTGACCTTCCCCATCTCCCACCTGCTCTCCCCTCGCCCCGCCTCCCGCCCCGCCCCGGCCCCGCCCCGGCCCCGCCCCTGGCCCCGCCTCCCCGCGCCCAGCAGGTGTGCAACTGCCCCTATTCTGCCTGTGGCGCCTGGGTCGGTGGCTCCATCCTGTGCTCCCTCTCCACCTTCGAGGACATGTGGGTCACCAGCTCCGAGTACAGGGAAGTCGGCTGCTCTGTCGCCAGCAGGAGAAGCTACTGACGCCTGCTCCCGGGGATCTGTTCGCCTGGGCCGCGGCAGCAAGTCCAGGCTGAGCACCGGCGTGGCTGCGTTGGTCAAAGCTCACAACCAACTCGGGTGGAAGGACCTGTCTGCCCCAGCCCCCCTTGTCTGTGTCCTCCAGGTCAGTGGGCGAGGGAGGGCCCCGCTGCCCTCGCTCTGTGGGGATCTATTGGAACAGCTAAGCCGGCACACATTTTACCGGAAAGGTAGAGTTACAGAGAGGAGACCAAGAAACCTTCTATCTGCTGGTTCACTCCTCAAATGGCCACAGCGGCCAGAGTTGGGCTGACCCATGGCCAGGAGCCCGGAACTGTTACCTCCCAAGGACCTGAGCCATCTCCACTGCTTTCCCGGGCCGTTAGCAGGGAGCTGGACTGTAAGTGAAGCAGCCAGGACTCGAACTGGCACACGTATGGCATGCTGGTGCTGCAGGTGAAGCGCTGACACGCTCTTCCATGGCACCTGCCCTGCAAGGTTTTATCAAGACTGAAGCTAAGAGAGGTTGGTTAACTGGCAGAAAGTCAGCAAAGGGGCATTCGGGCATTCACCAGCCCCCGAGTGCTGGGGGTGGGAGCCGAGAGAGCCAAAGGAGAGAGGCTGTGGACAGCAGCCCAGGTGGGGTCAGCGCGGAAGGTTCCTATGGCAGAGCCCGTGACCGCCAGCCCAGAGCATCTAAAACAAGGCGAGTCCCGAGGCAGCACCTGCAAGGACAGGCGGGGCAGAGGGTGGAATTGCAAGAAAAAGCATCCAGGGGCGCAGGGAAGGAACCTCGGACAGGGAGCACCCACAGGGGGTGTGTGGGGGCAGGCATTGGTGTGTGTGTGTGTGTGTGAGTGTGTGCACGCTAGGAGATCCCACGGGAAGCCACGGCCCCTGCTCTAAGGGAGGAAGCAAGACCCTGTGTGTTGGGTTCTGACCAGCAAGCCTCAGGTGCCGGGGAGCAGGGACAGGTGAGCGCTGAGCTGAGCAGCCAGCCCAGCCGGCCTGAGTTAGAGAAATGACCCAAGCTGTCAAGCCTGTCCTGGGACCTGGCCCACCCCAAGGTGACACGGCCTGCCACCCAGGGGCGTCGCGACAGGTTAGGCGTGAGACCCGACCTGACAGCTCCTTCAGTTAAAGCTGTGTGAGAAACCAGAGCTGTTAGGAAGTGAAATTCCAGAAAATGGGGTTCCCAGGAAAGCAAGGAGGAGGGTGGAGAAAGAGACCGGCTTGGCAGGAGAAGTTCTGAGAGGGATGGCCCTGGTGAGGCGTGGGCTCCCATCCCTGCACATCGTCCACCCCGGTAAAGCTGGGGGTGTCGGCCTTTCCCCAGCCCCACCTGCCCCGGTGGCTCAGGTGGCCAGCAGTCCCCCTGCACCAGGAAGCTGTGTTCCCATCAGTGGGACACCCTTGGCAGTGCCAGCCATCAAGAGGGTTTCTTTATTCCCAGCCATTGCCCTAATTTCTTCTGGCCTGAAAATGGGGTAGCGTTGTTTCAGTAACCCTGGCAACGTTGGCCGAGATCCCGGGAGCCACAGCAGTCGCTGGCCCCGGTGGAGGGGGACGCTCAGCTTCAGCTGCCAAATGAGATGTGCTGAGTGGGCAAGCTGCCCTCGGGGTGCCAGCCAGTCCTGAGGCAGGACGGGTACCAGTGGCCCAAGCTGAGTGAGCAGCCGATGTCGGGAACGTGGCCAGCCCCTGGGACAGCCAGTGAGCAGCTGGGGGAGGGACCCGTCAGCCTGGAAGCCAGCCCAGCAGACGCGAGGTCTCCAAGGGGTCGTGGTGGAATCCAGCCCTGGGTGGATGGGGGAGGCAGTTTCTCGCACCTGCTCCAGCCAGGCGGAGACAAACAAGCACCCCGAAGTTGGTCTTCTCCATGTGATCATCAAATGCCTAAATAAGACACAGCCTTCTGTGGCAGCCCCACCGTCACCAGCCTTCTGGGAGGTGGCCCCACCTCTGGGACCCCACCAGCCTTCTGGGGAGAGGCCCCACCTCTGGGACCCCACAAGCCTTCTGTGGCAGCCCCACCTCGGGGCCCCGTCCTGCTAAGCAGTGGACGAGGGAATGCCACAGGAGCCACATCCAGAGTGCCCACATTCTGACCTTGAGTGACCTTGGTGAACATGCAGAACTTTTATTTTTTTAAGATTTATATTTATTTTTGTTTAAAGGCAGATTTCACAGAGAGAAGGATACACACAGAGAGATCTTCCTTGCACTGGTTCACTCCCCACATGGCTGCAGTGACTGGAGCTCAGCTGATCCGAAGCCAGGAGCTTCTGGTCTCCCATGTGGGTGCAGGTCCCAAGGCTTTGGGCCGTCCTTGACTGCTTTCCCAGGCCACAGGCAGGGAGCTGGATGGGAAGCGGGGCAGCCAGGACATGAACAGGCTCCTGTGTGGGATGTTGGCACTGCCAGCTACGTCCCGGCTCTGGCCCTGACGCTCCGAGTCCTGCTGTGGCCTCCAGAGGGCTGGGTGACAGCAGGGTGATGGTGTCACTGCTCGCGGGTGAAGCCTTCTGGGGAGCCGCCGTTGGGAAGACAGCGAGTGCGTGGAGCGAACCCTCGTGTGCGTGACGGGACGTGCAGCTGCTGTGGAAGCAACTGGTCGCAGAGGACAGAGTGGGCAGCCGTGGCCTGCGTCTGGGGCTGGGTGCGTGGGGAGTGAGTGTTGGATGGGGACGGCATTGGGTGGAGACGGCTGTTGGCTCTTGGGGCAGGTGGCGAGGTGTGACGCAGCAGTGTGCCTCATGGCGCTGCGGGGAGCGCTTAGCCTGGTGCGGATGGCACAGGGTGTGTGTGTTTCACTCCAAAAGCATCATGTAGGGGTTCAGCAGGTTAAGACAGCGCTTGGGATGTCAGCGCACCTGGCTTTGAGCCTCGGCTGCCCATCCAGCTTCCTGCTGGTACATGCCCCGGGAGGCAGCTGTGAGGTCCTCGCCACCCGGTGGGGGGGGGGGGGGACCCTGATGGAGCACCTGACCCAGGCCTGCTCGGCTCCAGTTGCTGCAGGTGCATGGGGAGAACCAACAGATGCATTGAAAATCTCTCTGTTACTCTTTTTTTTTTTTTAAAGATTTTATTTTATTTTTATTGGAAAGGTGGATATACAGAGGAGGCGAGACAGAGAGGAAGATCTTCCATCGAATGATTCACTCCCCAAGTGAGTGCAACGGCTGGAGCTGAGCCAATTTGAAGCCAGGAGCCAGGAGCTCTTCCAGGTCTCCTACGCGGGTGCAGGGTCCCAAGGCCTTGGGTCGTCCTCTACTGCTTTCCCAGGCCACAAACAGGGAGCTGGATGGGAAGCGAGCCGCCGGGATTAGAACCAGCACCCATATGGGATCCCGGGCGTGCAAGGCGAGGACTTTAACCACTACACTATCGCGCCGGGCCCTCTGTTACTCTTGAATAAACAAAACAAACAGCGTTTCAAATCCCTGCCCCACGCATCCAGGAAGGAAACGGGCAGTCTGGCATGAGTCTTTGCCTACCCCACTCAGCAGTGATCCACAGAGGAGACCTGGGGCCATCAGCTCTGCTGGAAACAGGAGCTGTGTTTGTACCCAGACATGCCATGAGTCCTCAGGAGCTGGGGACCACCGCAGGTGCAGGAGCAGGCTCAGGTGGCATCTGTCATGAAGGCGTGCCGACCTAGTACTCGGCACGCAAGCTGCACTAAGTTGGCCGTGCAGACAAAGCAGCCGCGTGACTGCATCAGATGCCTCGTTAACCGGCCAGCGAGCCTGCCAATCCGGGCTTACCACACCGGCCTGAGGGTGGCAGCCCACGGCCAGCTCAAGCCCCAGGGCTCCTTGTGCCCTGTGAGCTCCATGTCAGACCTGACTGTGGGCCTCTTCATGTCCCGGGGGTGAAGCTGTGTGGGAGAGAGGCCCAGCTGGGGCCATGCATGCACCCCGGGCTGCCTAGGCTGGCTGCCCCATCCCTACTGTGCCCCCAGACCCCAGAGCATGCCGCTTGCTACCATTTGAATGTGGTTTCCAATTCCAGTGTTTGGGAGGGGGGCCTGGTGGGAGGGCCTTAGGTTGGGGGTGGGACAGGGGAGTTAGAGCACCAGAGGGGCTTCCGAGGACAGGGTTGGACCCAGCTGCCCCTTCCTGGCCCTTGTGGGACCCTCCCCCCACAAGCACCCCACTGCTGCCATGACCAATCTCGGATTCCAAACCCTTAAGGTTCCCTGTGTTTAGACTCAACCCACTGGTGTTTGCTCACAGTGACTAAGGCGTGACAAATGCACACAGCACCATAGTTCTAACCCTGGGGCCCGGTTGAGCCAGTGTCCGGGCTCCACTGCTACTGGCTGCTCAGGGTCGTAGAGACCAGGCTGGGAGTGCGACAGAATGACTTTATTTCCACCATCAGCTGTCCCACCCTCCATCATCCATGCCTGTAGTCACACATGTACCTGTCACCTCTCTCACGTTCCATCATCCATCCAGTCTTCTTCCGTCAGCAGGTGTCTCCAGCCAGCCATCGTTCCACAACCTTCCATACAACCAATTATCCACTCACTCACCTGTGCAGTAGTCCAACCATCCGTCTACCTAACACTACGGCCACGCACAGAGGCGTGCAGGGGCTTTGCCAGCAAGCCACCATATCTTGTTTACTTTTTTTTTAAAAAAAGACTTATTTATTGTTATTGGAAAGTCAGATAGATATACAGAGAGGAGGAGAGACAGCGAGGAAGATCTTCCATCCACTGATTCACTCCCCAAGTGAGCACAATGGCCAGAGATGAACATATCCAAAGCCAGGAGCTTCTTCCACCACGTGGGTGCAGGGTCCCAAGGCTTTGGGTCATCCTCCACTGCTTTCCCAGGCCACAAGCAGGGAGCTGGATGGGATGCGGGGCTGCTGGGAACAGAACCAGTGGCCATATGGGATCCCATTGCGTGCAAGGCAAGGACTTTAGGCACTTGGCTGCCGCACTGGGTCCAAGCCCCCTGTATTTTGTCTGGCTCTGATCCTGGATGGTG